TGCACCGGACATCTCAAGGCAGGTGCCGGACATCCCAGGTGTCGGACATCCCAGGTGCCGGACATCCCGGCCTTGCGCCGGACATCTCAAGGCAGGTGGCGGACATCCCAGGTGCCGGACATCCCAGGTGCCGGACATCCCTGCCTTGCGCCGGACATCTCAAGGCAGGTTCCGGACATCTCAAGGCAGGTGCAGGACATCCCGGCCTTGCACCGGACATCTCAAGGCAGGTGCCGGACATCCCAGGTCCGGTGCCGGACATCCCGGCCTTGCGCCGGACATCTCAAGGCAGGTGCCGGACATCCCAGGTGCCGGACATCCCAGGTGCCGGACATCCCGGCCTTGCACCGGACATCTCAAGGCAGGTGCCGGACATCCCAGGTGCCGGACATCCTAGGTGCCGGACATCCCGGCCTTGCGCCGGACATCTCAAGGCAGGTGCCGGACATCTCAAGACAGGTACCGGACATCCCGGCCAAGCGCTGGACTTCTTGATGAATAGCATAAAAGATCATAAAAGTAGTCCACGGAGCAAATCGTTAACCCTACCAGTAGCAAACTGGCCCACGGAGTGTTTACGGACCAAACCCTCAACCCTATTGGGTTCGCATTCTTTCCTTCTTCTGAGCAAAGTCAGCTTTAGCAGTAGCTAGCATGCACATGTTTCTGAATATGTCGCCATAATTTAGCTGGTTCAGAAAATGTCAGCAATATTTCTTCATCTTTACTCATGAGTCTGCGAATCCGCACGAGATGGTTTAAATAAGTTGGCTTGATACCAAAGTTCCAGAATCATTGGCCCGATTAGGATATGTCCATCAATCCATACATAGAAATTCCAAAATCCCTCACTAATACTTTTATGTGTAGAACCCCGTCAACTACCTTGCCATGGTTGGAAAGATATTTGGAAAAATATTGAGGAAGTGATGTACAATCTGCAGATGTATTTCAAAGATAGATCTGCTTGATTGGCTTTGATTCCTGTTCATAAAATGTTGTTTCCTTCAACCCTGCACTTTGGGCCCCGAAAACCGCTGCGATTCGCAGTGCCCTTTTTAGTTCTGCAGGCCACTTCCACCCTGTCTGGTGAGGTGCAGAAACGAGGCCTCTATGTATTCGCCCAAACAAGATCAAACAAGTATATAACACTTATCCTATTCATTCCTATTCCTAGTTGGGATATATGTAATATGTATACTATCCAATGATGAACGCTGACTTACCTTTTTGTGGCCAACGTACTGTACTCAAAAACGCCCAAATGAATGTTGCCATTCCAACACACCGAAGGCCAAAGGTCTGTTGGCAAAACACATGATCCAGGCGAAACTCTGAGCACATTTGCTCCCCATTGCGAGAAATATGGATCCGACCATAGCTCCTAAAGGCTCCTCCCATTTACCACTGGATAGTTTTTGTATCTCATTATATCGATCTCTATGATATCCCGGATATCCCCATAAACCAGGTAGTATGACCCCATTACACCCCCCTCAGAGTGCATGGCCCTGACCTACTTTCTCAGAGGTGGTTGCGCCATCTATTTAGTAGTGAAAAACATCAATCCGATATGTACCCGAAACAGCAAATGTGCCCGAAGATGGCGCAACCCTACATGTGCAAAATGGGCCAAATTGCGCCATCTACCCGACCCCATTCTTAATTTAAATCCCTTCTTCCGGGACTGGACATTTCGGTCATCAAAACGTTGAAAAAGTAAGGGGTGTGTGTGTGTTCAACAAAAGTTTTTCGGGGAAAGGATTTTTTCACTACTAAATAGATGGCGCAACCACCTGGGACAGTGCCATCCAATTGCAGATTTCACACGGAGAGATGGCTCAAGTCAAAACACCCAAGCATATTTTTCTCCTTTTCCTTTCCCTTTCTCCTTTCTCCTTTCCCTTTCCCCTTTCCTTTTCTCCTTTCCCTTTCCCTTTCTCCTTTCTCCTTTCCCTTTCTCCTTTCCTTTTCCCCTTCTTTGTTCTCTCCTTTTTTCCTTTCTCCTTTCTCTTTTCCCTTTCGTTTTCTCCTTTCTCCTTTTCCTCCTCCTTTTCCTTTCCCTTTACAAATGGAACGCAGTGGTAACCTATAGATGGCGCAATCCACAGTTATGGGTTCCCCAAAAAGATCCAGTTGCCTGTCCCTTTCCCTTTCTCCTTTCTCCTTTCTCCTTTCCCTCCTCCCCTCACTGTCCCTTCCCCTTTCTCCTTTTCCCTTATGCTTCCCCTTTCCCCTTTCCCTTTCTCCTTTTCCCATTTCCCCTTTCTCCTTTCCCCGGTCCCTTTCTCATTCCCTTCCCCCTCTTCCTTTCCTTTCCCTTTCCCTGTATTTTTCTCCTTTTTCCTTCATTCTTTCCCTTTCCCTTTACAAATGGAACGCAGTGGTAACCTATAGATGGCGCATTTCCACAGTTATGGTTTCCCGAAAAAAAATCCAGTTCCCTTTCCCTTTCTCCTTTCTCCTTTCTCCTGTCCCTGCCCTCCTCCTTTCACTGTCCCTTTCCCTTTTTCCTTTCCCCTTTCCCTTTCCCTTTCCCCTTTCCTTTTCTCCTTTCCCTTTCCCTTTCTCCTTTCTCCTTTCCCTTTCTCCTTTCCTTTTCCCCTTCTTTGATCTCTCCTTTTTTCCTTTCTCCTTTCTCCTTTCCCTTTCTTTTTCTCCTTTCTCCTTTTCCTCCTCCTTTTCCTTTCCCTTTACAAATGGAACGCAGTGGTAACCTATAGATGGCGCAATCCACAGTTATGAATTCCCCCAAAAAATCCAGTTGCCTGTCCCTTTCCCTTAATCCTTTCTCCTTTCCCTCCTCCCCTCACTGTCCCTTCCCCTTTCTCCTTTTCCCCTATGCTTCCCCTTTCCCCTTTCCCTTTCTCCTTTTCCCATTTCCCCTTTCTCCTTTCCCCGTTCCCTTTCTCATTCCCTTCCCCCTCTTCCTTTTTCCTTTCCCTTTCCCTGTATTTTTCTCCTTTTTCCCTCCTCCTTTCCCTTTCCCTTTACAAATGGAACGCAGTGGTAACCTATAGATGGCGCAATCCACAGCTATGGTTTCCCGAAGAAAAATCCAGTTCCCTGTCCCTTTCCCTTTCTCCTGGCCCCTTCTCCTTTCCCTTTCCCCTTCCCTGTCCCTTTTCCTTTCCCCTTTTCCTTTCCCTTTCCCCTGTCCTTTTCTCCTTTTTCTTTCCCTTTCTCCTTCTCCTTTCTCCTTTCCCTTTCCCCCTGCATAGATGGCGCAACCCTGAAACACATTGGCAACACATTCTGGCATAGATGGCGCGACCCACAAAAGTAAGGGGGATGGATGTCACGCCCTTTTTTGGGGTGTCAAAATTCAAAAAGTCGGCGCCATCTACACGCGCACTTTGGAAGAGAGCGGGGCCATCTACTCTGAAGGGGGGGTATACCCTCTGGCAATCAATCATGGCGTGCTGAAAATCACCCACTTAATTAGTTCGGTGATTTTCCCAGCAAACTAAACCTCTATTTATAGGTGATTTCCCATTCCCGAACGGATACCTCACTTTTCTATCTTGTGGGGTGCTCAAAAACGGTAGATCCCCAAACCCGTTGACGTTCAAAGCAAATGCACAAGACTCAGAACACATTGTTTCGGTTGTTTTCATACCTGAAAACATCAGCTGGTGCATGATTCCAATAACTGGGTTTCCAGGCGTTTTTCTTTGATTTTCAGCGCGTAGCTGAACAAATTCATCCCTGACCCCACGAACAATTGAGACGCGACCCTTGGATGATCCCCAGCCCGATGGCACTGCGGTCCTGCTTCCTGCTGGTTGCCTGTCACGATGCGACCACACCAGCAACATCGATTGACTATCTGCATCTGAGCTATCATACAGCACCGGATTTGAATTCTGAATTCACCATGGCCACCACAAATTGGACTTTTTCGCGTAGTTCGTTAAATCACTAGTGCAACCGAGTGCAACAGCAGCCTGGGCTGGCGCTGGCGAACCATCCTGGCAGGACGAGTTGGAATGAGCAACTTGTGATCCAAGCCAGGAGCATGTTGAAATATATGTTGAACTGCTGAAGAACAGGTTCATTCTGCTGACATCACATCAAATACCGGAGAAATCTCCTTTGGTCGTCACATCCCAGTAATTTCTTCCAATACTTTCAAACCTATGGATATCCATTCTGGTGTATTCTGGTCATCCGACGACTTCAGAAGGCTGCGGTCACTGCATTTTCTACACAAGATACATGTCGGATGAGGATCAATCAAAACGTCCCACCCCATGAAATTAAGGACCTATGAGTAGACTGTGAGTAGACTGTGAGGGCCTTGCCGATTCGCAGATTTGTGCTGAATATGACTCATCTGTAGTGGGACCTTCAGATCCATCCTCAGCTCCATTCCACGCTCATCTCTTGGAGATGGCGCCGCAGCCCAACAGCTGCCAAAAAAAGGACCAGGGGAGCCTCTGACGAGACCTCCGGATGTGTTTTGCTCAAGTTGATGCAAATACAGTTTGATATTTATACGTGTATATCATATATATATATATAATGTATGTATGCAATATTGTATATATATATATTATTTGTAATTAGCTACAATATAGTTAATCAAAGAAATATATAGATGGATAGCTAGAACAGCTTAGTACGCTGGAACGAATGCAATATAGATACGGAAATCAGATTCAGCGATTTCATGCGATTTCAGCCATCATCCAAGGCCTTGTAAATGGCTTCCATATGAGTCCATCGAGCCAAACTGCATTAAATGGCCACGCCTCGACCGGCAGTGGCCATGGTCGAGGCATGGCCAGGGACTTGTCGCACGACAAATCTAGGCAAAACCCCTATGGGAAGATACATCGAGTCCTGGAAAGCTCAGGACTGCGCAACTCGGAAGTTAAAATGTGTTCAAATGCGCTCAAATATGAGAATGAGAATTGTTAAGTCAGCTAATGTGAGCTGATATCATCTGGAAAGTCTTCTTCTCTATCGCAGCCTAACCTCCGGCATTCAAGAAATCACTAAGTAGACTTGACATCCCCAACCCTTACCAGCTCACTTGGTTGAGGTGGATCTCCAGGAAAGTTGAGCTGCAAAATCCTCGCAGCCAAGGATTGGAGAAAATGTTTCGGATGTTTCCCTTTTCTTTTCCCTTTTTCTACCTGACAGTTTCTTCGCTTCCTGACTTGGGAGAATCGGAATGAAAAAACTCGCTGGCAATCGGCACTTGCTTACTCGGTTTGGAGCAGGAGAAACATCGTTCCGAGTGAACAACAACCGCTTTCTAGTCCATATGAGAATCATATGAGGGATGCCTTAAGGGGATACCCCCGTCAACATACCTCAGAATAATTATAATATTATTCCGGCACCCGTTGAGTTCAAAAAAATAAATTATTCTAAGAACTCATGAGTTCATATGGAAAAATGGAATAATTTCCATCAAAATGATACCGGTATAGTCTATTTCTAGCCAAACGCAAGTGATCGTAAGCAGCTGCGCGCAAACGGCCGAGAACGGTTTCCCTTCTTGCAGAGCTGGGGCACAAATTTAAACAATTTTCAACATACTCAGATAGGATCAAGAAGAGTCAGGATAGTATCTTTAAACAAATTTCCTCTCAGCAACCCACTGGCTGAACATGGTTTTAGTTTGTTTTGGGTGTTTGAAACTGGGCTAGTTTGGTGGTTCTGGCCTTAGTGGGAATGAGTGGGAAAAGCAAAATATTTGGTTGTCACTGGTTAATTTTTTTGCAAATTTCTGGATTTGTTTTGTGATTGTAGCAGCTGCCCCCTTTTGTTTTTCAGGGGTGCCAGGCATCTCCAATACCTCCAGAATAATTTCTCCCCTGGGGAAAGCCCGGAGAAAAAAAAAACAACTTGGCTCTCTTCTAGAGGTTTTCCCAACTTTGCGTCCGCGCCCCTATTTCTTCCATATTCCCTTCATTTCCTTCCAAAAAACTCCCGTTGGCCATAGTGGGAATGGGTGGGAAATGTGTGGGGTTTCATTTGTTTTTTTGGCAATTCTTGCCAATTTCTGGGCTAATTTTGTGATTAGCTGTCCGCTTTCGTTTTTGAGGGGTACCAGGCATCTCCAATACCCCTAGAATAATTTCCCCCCTGGGGAAAGCCCACACAATGGCACTCAACCTGGCCTTTTCCTAGGTATTTTCCTAACATTCCCCATTCATTGCCACCCAAAGAGCTCTCGAGAGAAAGTACCGTGAGAGAAAGGTGGTCCGGTCGACACTAGTTGTGCGTGCAAGTATGCTGCAAAAAAAGGTTGGCAGCAATTGCCCAAACTGCATGATGCCTTAAATAACTGCAATTGGCATTTCCAGCAAAAAGTTTTCAGGCAAACACCGCCACGCTAGGAATGGCTTCTGGAAAGGCCAGGCCAAACGTAGGAAGTATAGGCTGCTTCAAGATGTTTTAAGTTACCAAAAATTATTCCAAAACCTAATTATTCCGGGGTATCTTGACGGGCTGGATCATGATTTTCAAATTCCAACATGCATACTCGTATACCTACCCCCCTCAAAAATTATTCCTTGAAAATTATTCCAAAAGAAATTATTCCATAACCTAGTTGATACCCTGGAATAATTTCTTAAGGCATGGGTCATAGAATCATATTGGATTGTCCCATTTCACGAGGACTGATCCTTTACATGCATTGGTTGATTGCTGACACACTACATATCAACTACCAGAAATGAAACCACGTGCAGTTCATCTGCCGCAAATAGGATGCTCAGACTAAATTGCCTAAGATGTGTATATATGGTCCCGTCCTCCGTCTCTCCACCCCCCCTCCCCCCCCCATGGGTTGGGTCCCCAGGTAGCAGCCCCAATTCCCTTCTATTTGCAAGCTATTGGCAGCATTTCTGAGGTCAAGCTTCGTATTTGCTAGGTCTTTGCAGCATTTCTGACTACCAGCCTCGCATTTACTAGGTACATGCTACCTTTTAGGCGACCTACGTAGCACACATACTCCTTCAAAGTACCTACGTGCTACCTATAGTCATATATACATGTGCTACGTATCTACTGTATCTACTTCCTATATACTACCTCTGTACTCTGACAACACTACCTGTGTTTAACATATACCGTACCTACCATACATGTCAACGATGCCATGCATACCATACCTATCATATCTATCATACATACCATACATACCATACATATGAAATGTAATTCCCACACCTACCATACATACAATAGCAAACATACATGCCATACATACCATACCTACCTTACATAGGAAATATTACATACCCATCATAGTAATCATACATACCATACAGACCATACATACTGTCATATCAAACATATCATACCCAACAGACTTATATACCATACCTACCATCCATACAATACCAACCACTCATGCCATACATACCATACATACCAAACATACCATACTTTCCAAACATGCCATACCAGACCGACCATACACACCATACATACCCAACATACCATACCACACCCCCACCACACCACAGGGGGGGGAGGGGGACAGTGCCACACCGCCACCACACCACAGGGGGGGGAGGGGGAAGATCTCATATGGGGCCAGTATATGGGACCCATCCCATGGGGGAGGGGGGGGGTGGCAGGGCCTGGTGCATATATATAACTCTGATTATATATGGGTTTTGATATAAATTCGTTCATTCTGAATCGGCCATTCTTAAACCATTTGAAGGACTTTAGCCAAATTTTAGCGAAACCTGATATTTCTTTTTTTTGTGGTGGTACCTTGAACCACTTTCTTGTTGTTGGGAAGCATTCAATCTGCATGGAAGTTGCAACATTTCTCTTTGTCAGGCCTTTTGGTGTGCTAAGATATCCGTGCATAATTAGTCCATCAATGACCTTTAGATCAACTCCCCTCGACTCCCACATACCTGTTTTGTTTTGAAATGTTTTGAATGGATATACTGATACCCGGCATACCTACATGGCACCTACATACCTACCCGGGGCTTTACCCACGATATCCATGGTTCATGGCTCTATTTTTCAAACCACCCAGGCCAAGGCTGCCAAGGTACACTGACTCATTCTCATCCGGTGCAACCGCTGGGGGTGGGTCCTGCTGGATATATCGACCCTCAAAATACCGATTTCACTACATCCACATTCTATGCAGTTTCCCCAACTGAATCGATCCTTTTGAATTGTCCAGGCACCCGATTCAAAGACATGGTCACATGATGGATATACTAACAAATTGGATCAAATTGTGCCAAATATCACCCTATACTGCCAATATATGCCAATATCCTATCACCAATGGACTTCCAATAAGATTCAAAAAAAACTCACAAGCACGATAGAAACACCATGACTCAACATCAGTCAAAACCAGGGGATCATTTCCGGCCAGACCTCCGGCGGCATCGACTCCAGCACAACAGTTGTCTGCGGATATGGACCGACCTGTCTAATGATAGGGGTGCAGTGGAGAATGACAGGGTTTGCTTATGGAGGAAACATGGAAAAATTGGAAAAACATCAAATGAAACAGTAGGCAATATATTGTAGAGTTTCGCACAGCGGCGATGTCATAAGGGTTAAGTATAGCAGTGTGAGCATTGATGTTGTTCATGTGCTCTGCGCGTGAGTGCAGAACACAGTGTGATGTTCTTTTCATACCGAAGCTCGGGTCACGGGTTTATTGGGTAACTAAAATGTTTTATTGGATAACCAAAACGTTTTATTGAGTAACTAAAACGTTTGATTCGGTAACCAAGACGTGTTATTGGGTAACCATGTTATTTGGTAACTAAAACGTGTTATTTGGAAACAATCAAACGTAGATTCGGTAACTAAAAGGTATTATTTAGTAACCATGTGATTTGGTAACTACGAACTCTGCTTTGGTAACTAAGACGTCTTATTTGGAAACCATACTCTTTGGTAACTATAACGTGTTATTTGGAAACTATGAAACATTGATTCAGTAACTAAAAACAGTTATTCGGTAAAAGCATGTTATCTGCAAAATGACATGTCTATGTGGGCAACCAAATCGAACGTGTTCGATGGAAACGATAGTCTCGAATGAATCCACAGCTATCCGCGTGTTTTTTTTCTTTGGACACTCTTGCATGTAGGGTTTTGGGGGGGGGAGGTTTAAAACATGCCTCGGAATCGTGACAAGAAGTCTTGGAGAGGGGAGTCTGTGAAGTTGAGGCATAGTCTTGCATGTAGGGTTTTGGGGGGGGAGGTTTAAAAAATGACTTAGAATCTAACAAGAAGTCTTGGATAGGGGAGGCTGTGAAGTTGAGGAATACTCTTGCATGTAGGGTTTTGGGGGGGGGTTTAGAAAATGACTTGGAATCGTGACAAGAAGTCTTGGAGAGGTGAAGCTGTGAGGTTGAGGCATACTCTTGCTCAAGAAGTCGTGATATTCAAATAAGGATAGTTGCTCGAGGCGATTCCTAATTCTTAAATCGAGTTTGCCAAGGTGTAAATCATGCTTGCCGAATCGGTCAGGTCTGGTTTCCTCAATTAGTCACCAAGTCGGAGAGTTTTAGTTACCAAGCATCTGAGAATTGTAGTTACCAAATCGGAGAATGGTAGTTACCAAATCGGGGAATTTCAGTTCCCAAAACATAGTTATCAAAGCCGAAATTCTTAGTTATCAAATCGCGGAGATTTGGTTTCCAAATCGGGGATTTGTAGTTTCGGAATCATAGTTTCCAAATCGGGGAAACGCAGTTACTGAAGCAGAGATTGTTAGTTTCCCAACCGTAGTTCCCAAAGCGTAGTTTCCAAATCGTAGTTTCCAAATCGCCGATACTTATCCAATCGGTCTTCCATCCCGAAGCTCGCAACCATCTTACTACACATTGTTTTTGTCGCATTTTTGTGTTTGTTCTTCTTGTTCTTCATCTTCTTGTTGTTGTTGTTGTTGCTGTTGTTCTAGCAACACAGCTTATTTTCGCATTTTTGTGGACCCCTAAAAATCCTCAAATAGGCAGTGTTTTCGCGTATTTTTGAAACCCTCGGAATCCTCGGAGGAAAAAACACTATAAATAGCGATGTGTTTGCGCCTCGGAAGCCCAAAACCACGGTATTTACGATGTTTTTTGCCTTTGGAAACAAAAAACACGGTATTTACAGTGTGTTTGTGCCAGCGCCTAGCAAAAATACTGGTATTTACGCAGTCTTCACCATGTTGCAAGATGTAGTTTCTATATGCGAAAAGGACAAAAACACTATATAGTTACTATATTTTACGATGTTGAGCGCAGCAAAAAAACGTCAAAAAATTGCTCAAAAACGATCTATCCAAAAGCATCTTATAATTTTAGCGGCCACGGACCGCCAAAAACGTGAAAACACCACCAGCCTGAATGATTTTGGGGAGGGGCGCGCCCCCGGGTAGCTAAAGCTGGCTGCAGGCTACACACACACACACAAACACACACACACACACATGGCGAGGCATCGCCGAATTTCAGATATTTTACACACTGAGAAGAAACACATTGCAGAATGGTGTGGTGACCTAGTCGTGCCCCTGCAAATTTGCATGAATTCGTAAGAGCCACCACAGATCCTGAGTTGTTTGGCGGTTTGGCGTGAGCATCTCCATCCTGTGATACTATTCCTTCCAAACACTGATGTCAACCCTGCTAGGGAACGGCAAACACTGCCAAGAACCTACAAAGAAACCTTCTTACGTTTTCTTTATTTTAGTTTCTTCCACCAATATATCAATCACCAGTAAACACCAACTGCCAATATGATCAACTCATTTCACATCACGCAGAAACTTTCACTACCCAATCTCTGCTAAGTCTATCCATGTCTATCCATGTCTATCCCATCTCCGGTTTCTGGACTTCCCATCCAAAACAACTTCCAGCACCAAAACATCTTCGCCACTTGGGCCACTTCACCTCCATCTTCGCCAGCGGCGTGAGGTCAACGCAGGGTTTGGCGGTCTTGCGCTGCTTGCGTTTCACCTTTCGCTCCTGGAGCCACGTATCAACAAAATTGGTTGGAGCGGGATTTCTATTTGATTTATATGTTACATATATTCTATCTATATGTAACGTATTATTAGTATAATTATATTAATATTGTATAGTATATATTAATATATTAAGGATGTGTGTGTGTCTGTTATTAGATTGTTTCCAGTTGTACACATAATAAGTGCATGTATATTATACGTATGTGTGCGTGTGCTATACTTAGGATATGGTTCATATCGGATCATATTGTATCATATTGTATCATCATATCATATGCCATTTGTATTGGATGAATCATGTGTCATTTAATTCACACCATACATAAAGGATTGTGGTTGATGAATGATACATGTGGGGCGATTATCACATTGTAATGCTACATAACACAGTGGGCGGATATGGTTAGGAGAAATGCGAGTTGACCCATATAAATGTAGCGAACAAAGATGAAGTATATGATCAACAACAGGGAGTGGCATCTACAAAAGTGGTTCTTAAATATTGCGGCACATATTATAATGCACAAACATATGGAATCAGAATCTGAATATAATCAGTAGTTTGCACTGTCCGACACTCAACTACTGTTACAGCCAAGACCTTCACGAACTTAGGACTGGCCTTCTGCGCGCAGTTTGGATGTTTCCATCGAATTGTCAATTCGGGGCTCCACAGTTCAGCGTCTCCTGCGACCTTCCTTGGTCTTCGTGCCACTGCTCCTGGAGGGGCCAATATCGTCCAAATCCATGAGATGGAACAGAATCACCTGTTGACTCACCTGGTTGAAATCTGTCTTCTGGAAAAACACATTTTGGGTCACATCCTTGAATCTCTTTGATCAATTATCTGTTGGCTCATGGTGTTGCTTGTGCCACCTGTGACCATCGGCCTCGTGACCAAATGAAGGCTGATCCCTTTCTTGCCAACCTTCGGCACGCGAAAGACTGGTCATCATATAAGTGCAGAAAGTCACAGAAAAGCGCACTTTGAAATCTGGTCATTGAATGTCATTGAAGTCAAGAGAAAGAAGAGAAAAAAGAGAAAAAAGAGAAAGGGCAGTAGTTGGATGTTGGAAGTACTTCAGATCTTCGGAGGCCCAGGCAAGCGCACATGCAATTCAGCTTTCATCGGATGTTTGGATTTGTTCTAATATGTTCTAAATATTTACCCTCACAGAGTCACAGAAATCTCAGGAAAAACAAAAGCATTAAGGAAACAAATGCCCATGTTTCTTCCCTGGTCTCCAAATGTCTCCAAAGCCAAAGACCAAGCCGGCCATAGCCGGCCTCTGAGAGTTGACAGGAGTTCTGCATGGTCGTCCTTATGCTGTTTCAAGGACTCAGAGACGTTGCGCTCCAGGGAATTCTGACGACGCAGCAACTCATCCATGCGACTTTCAATGGCCTGCCAAGCGTTGGTGGGATGGCATGCATTTTGGATCCGCCAATCGGAATTTCACTAAATCTGAGGGTGAAGCATATGTGAAGCATAAGAGTGGAAAATAACGACTTTATGCGACTTTTGCACCTCAAGTGCCCCCTTTGAAACCCTCATGACGGCGGTCAATATGAAAAGATATGTAGGATATGTGCTAGATTGGAAATGTGCTGGTGTTGTTATGTCTAGGTCCTAGGTCGATTTTCACATGCGATTTGTACCTATATATGAACTGTCTGGAACACTATGGAACATGATGGAACTATGGGTTTCATTGGGTTTCAATTCTTTCTATTTCTTTCTCAGTCTCCACACGGTCCAGGCACCTGCAGCTTTCGGCCAAGTCCACTTTCTGAGATCATCTCTCGAGTGTCGCTGGTTTCATTTGTGTCGACACTTTTGGTCTTAAAACTTCGCGGTGATTGTGATTCCTGAACAGCACACAGTGTGTCACAGGTTGATGATGGTTGACGTACTGCAAGTCTCCGCAATCTTTGCAAATTCCATGCCCAACTACCGACATAATTCTCGCAAAAAAATCAACATGCGCTAGAACCTTCACCTACAATCAAGAGATATCAAGCCCTTACAAGGTCCCAATCGCACACAAACAATGAAGTTCGAAAACCAGTGTATACAGAGTACCTGCTTGAGAAATGAATAGGATATGATATGTCGGATATGCCATCCGATATGCCGAATATGCCGGCTACACGGCTACAGTATGCTTTAGGAATCTGATTTGCCAAACTTGGGGATGGTCAACGTGACCACGGGCAGCGATTCCCAGGGCTGATCCGTGCCAAAACACACTGTCGCTGCCGTCGAATCGTACAGTCTTTGCAGCCTGCGAAGCCAAGTAGTTTTGGAAACTCCATGAAAGCATATGAAAACTGCAATCTCTTTCGAAAGGATTCCAAAGGCATGGGGAAAAGTCAAAATGAAGCGCATCTCAAATTTCGCGGTCTCACTCTCAAATACCAGCTCAAATACCCGTATATACTATACTATAGTTGGTTTTCCTAGGTCTTGAGCCTTCAAGACTCACCTGCTTCAGTCTTGATCGCTGAAGTTCAAAGCAACATAAACTTAAACCACAAGACATGTGATGTTTCACCAAATCCATCCAAATCCATCTTCCAATGTGTCACAAAATCCTACGTCGTGTTGGGTCGAAATATGTCGAGCCGGTCTCCTCATTGCCGTACAACTTCCATGCGGAAATGGGCCTCCGGCTGCTCCGGCTGCTCCGGCTGGGCTACGGTCATGGACCCCCTCATAGGCCTTGGAAGAGATGCAGAAAGATCGAGTCATTCCGAGTCATCAAGGAAAGATCACGCAAGCATATCAATACATGATCATGGTATAAATATATCATGATATAAATGGTACATCACCTTTCTATGGGTGGGTGGGACCTCAAAAGCTACTGATGAGGATCATTATTGTCATTATTATGATTATGATTATGATTTTGCTGGTGGTGGTGATGGCTACATGGTCGCAACAAATTGGCTCGTGGGCTGGTTGCAAGCGGAGTACGTTCCTCGGGCTTTCCAGGGCGTCACCGTAGCGCCTCCCAAACCTTTTTCCCATCGTTGCTTCACTCGACGCTTTCGATCTCGTTCCTGGGCAGCGTTTCCCACTGAAAATAGTGCGGGTGTGCTCAGTGGCATAACATGGCATAACATGGCATAACATGGCATAACTTGCAAGGCATTTCGCATTATCCACTAAGCTGAGACTGTGTCACTGCCTGTCACCACAGTGACTTTGCTTGGGTTGCCATGTGTTTCGCGATTGAAATTTGGTGAAGCATGACCACTTCCTAGCTCCGAGAAATAAGGACATGAGCCAAACGTGAGGGAAACAGTACCATCCCATATTCCACTCTGGTCGCGTGTCTTTCCATTTCCATTGCTAGCCATCCCATCGTACTCAATACAAATGATCACACATCCTGGAGTTGGATTCAGTTTTGTATGACCATTCTTGATCAATTTTGCTCTTCAAATTTGGCTCTCATATCTTTCCCGAGCAGCTGCATGTCTTTCCACAGTTCGCAAGAGCTCAAGTCGCTCTTCGGGATAGAAATCCCACACATGCCTCGCAGTTGCAGGGACACCGATGCGATTCCATGGAACTCAGCTACACTTTTGAAGGAAAATAATATGTCTTACGGACTTGTTACTTGGAAATTTCAAGCCGCTTATTCATTCTGTGACCCACTTATATAATGCATGACAGGTTTTCTGCCAACAAGATACCTACAAAGCATGGCATTTTAGCTCACGAAAGGACCAAAACTCACTGGCGCCTAATGGAACTTGATGGTAGAGCAGAGACAATGACATAAGTATCTGCACCTCGGCGTGACAAGGACACGGATCAACATGATCAACAGAAACCTCACAACATTTCTATTTGCAAAGACCATGACTATTGAGAAACTAGTTCAGTTCATCTTGTTCATCACATTTTGGACCTCTGAGATCTTTACGGACCCAGGCAGTTCGAACAGTGTCTTTCACCAAGGCAATCTCACCTTAATTTCAGCAGCTTCAGCGATCTAGACCTGCAACTGCAGCTGCTCTGATCTAAATGTATCATTTCCATCTATTTCTGGCAGCTAAGGATGATGCCAAACTGAGCACCAACTCCCAGTCGTTGTGGGATGGGTTTGGCTTTTTCCACGTTGTTTTCATCCTGGCTGAGGGATCACCGTGACACAACCTGACGACAAAAATCCATGATAAAGCTTTACAATCTTTACACCCATCTGCCCAGCGCATGCTGTACAAAATCCCTTAGGTCCTCTGCATGATCAGGGATGAGAATCGTAAGCCACCCTCGACTGACAAAGTACATCCTTAGTTCCGTAAAGCCTCGTTGGATGCCCATGGAAGGTGGATGGCTGGATAGCTGGATAGCTCTGCGGTCATCTGCTTCATGTGGGTTCTTGAAAAGAAGAAAACCAAATCCATGACTATGACTATAGTTTCAATAGTTTCAGTGCTACCTAATGCCTATAAAAGCCAGTAACGGATATTATAATATACTGTAATATAATATAAAATCTGCAGGAGCACCTTGCAAATCAGCCTTTTGAGTACCAAATGGTGCCAATATTCTCAGCTCAAAAAACAAACATGGTTTTGGAGAACTCGTTTTCCTCTGTTTTTGGAAATTATTTTGATTTTGGAAAACGTTGAGTTCTCTGGTTGATGGGATTTTGTTGAAAACAGTTTGTTGATTGAAAGCATGTCAGAAGACAAGTGCCGTTTACCACTCATACTTCAGACATTTACTGTCTGATATCCAGGTCCTAGACCCTAAACTCCATGGATCTCTAAATCGAGAATTACCAAAATAGTATGGGGTGGGCCGCAAAAAAACACAAACATATCATGCAACGAAAACACAAAGAACAGAGCGTTCAAGTCACACAGGCCGTGAAAAATGTGTTGCGAGATGTGATTCTATTCTGCACCTAAAATGGAACAAAATCATCAGAAAAGTACAATAGTTTATTTCCATGTTTTTTTGTTCGGTCGATTTTCTCGAGGTCCAGGCTTGTGTGTGTGTGCTTGTTTTTTCCCGTTTTATCGTGCTCAAAGATAGTGCACATGTTGTCATGGTTTTTGCTAAGTTTGTCACTGTCTACTATCCACTTCTGTTTTCCGTTTTTTTCACGGAAGTGCCACAGACATTGCGCTTTCCGGAGATTTGAAGAGCCATCAAGGTTTTGGGGCCAATTCGCTTGAAGTTTTCTTGGTAGTCAGGGTATTCATAATCCACTGAAATCTCGAGGGTGCTTCCAAAGACAAGCATTTTTTTAAAAAAAATGGTTGCTACTAGCTCCAATTAATTTTGCCCAGAAGACCTTGTGTTTTTCAGTGTTGAGGATATATGCATTGTGTCTATCAGCCGGGTATCCTTGAAGAAGGAACCTCGCCTTTTTTCACTTTATCTTGTGCTTTTTGTGGTGCGCTTCTGGTGCTCACTATTGGAGTGTTGAGCGGTACACAAACTATAATAATAGATGTTCTTGCATTCAATTGCATCTTCTTGTCTAACTCCCTCCGATTGCGAAAGTGTTGTGAAGATTGAAGAGTTGGGGAGTTGGGCTCAGAAATGAAAGATTGCTATACCATCTCTATCCAATCATTTCACGACGGCGAAGACCAACACAAAGGCGGCCTAGGCATACACTGACAACCTGGCATCCAGAAAGTCAATGATGAAAAGTACCACATACCATTCCTGGCCTGAACGAACAGCGACCTAAACCTGGCTATTCTTGGATGCCTTGAATCTTCAAGAAGCTGGTCAGTATGCATATTATGTGTAAATTACATATTCTATATCCCCATCAGTCCCCATCTATGGCAAGAATAACAAACAATCACCTACTTACTAGACCTAATTCTTCCGTTTGGTGACAAAATGAAGTTCAAGTGCTCGGCGCTCCAAGTTTGTCCTATTTTGTCCTCGTCAACTATGTTGGCATCCCAAATCCCAATCGTTTTGGCTCCGGGGGTTAGTCACGGATAGTGGATTGCGCAGTGAATGGGGGGATAATAAATGGATGCACACCCAAACAATCCAATAGTAGTGGCAGTAGTGGTTTTTGTTGCTTTATTCAGTTGCGGAACGATTCTGGCCATTCTTTGAGTATACGCCGTGGAACCCCAATATTGACTAAGGAATCAATCTTTGCGGAATCTTTGCGGCTCCCATTTTACAGGTTTCATCTTTATCTTTTTGGGGATCAGTTTCCATATTTTCTTCCTTACGATATGACCACGGGCCCTCTGACACCTCCAAACTTCCAAACACTCTAGTGTTGTTTGCCCAGACACGACTGTGCCACCTCACCTTTTCGCACCACATAATCTCCAGGCAAAAAGACCTGGTCCTGTGCCAGCTGACCTTGAGACTCCTGGAACCTCAAAAAAACAAATTATGACAAATTTATGACAAATTTAATTCAATGGTGGTTTTCCCATGGAGTCCAGGCTGGACACATCTGGAGATTTAGAGGTCATCCTCATGGAAATAATGCAGCGAAATTAGACCAAGAATGGCCAAGATGACCAAAGTGGTTGTTCATGACCTGGTTCGGAGTGAGTGTGTGTAATGGTGAACGTGCGGTGTTGCTGTGCATCACGACCGTCACGCTGGGTCATGTTGCATTTATCTCACTCAATGTTTTGGGTCTTTCTTTGAAACAAGAAAGCCTTGCGCCGGCCCAGAGGATGGCACTGCCCCGATTTCATAAGCTAGTTCAGCTTGGATCCCTTGGCTTAGAATGTCAGCCATGGCCACGACTTTGTCAAGTATGGGGATAGGGTCTGATCTCTTGCTGTCTCATTGGTTTTTGCTCAACAGCCATGGGAGGAACCACAATGCCACTGCCGAAGCTGAAATCAGATTTCCTCCAGCACGTTGACAACAGCGATGATGTAGTTGGGATCCTTGTTCCTGGCACAAGAAAGGTGAAATGTTCCTTTGCAAACATGATCCTACCATTGGGAAATTATATGAAATTATTGCCTACAAAGAAACCAGTTGTATCATGAAAATGATTATGCTTAAGACCCTGCAATACAACCCCCTATTCAATGCACAACTGCCCAGCTGAGTGTCTTGAAGTGGGGCGAACAGACCACTGTCTCCCGGTAGAGATACACCAGGAGTGTGTTCTCCAGAGCTTTGCTCAAGTTCTTCTTTTCAAAGAGCGAATTGAAGGCCTGAGACCAGTGAACATCTCTGAGAATTTCTTACACCAAATTTGAAGCTTTTCTACTGGCAATCGTGGAGCAATCACTTGTTGGCATTCCCTGCTATATAATCATTGATTTCATATTTCAAGACTGTCCAGCTCCTTGCAGTAGCGCCTCGACGTCATGCTCGAACTTCTGGAAGAGGTGCATGCTCAGCCTTACTTCACTTGGCAGGTGACCAGCTTACTTCCTGTCCACGCTATCAAGATTTATCTTCATCAGAGTAAGCACGCAAAGGTCTGAACATTGAAAGTTGAAAGTCATCTGCAAACTGCAGTCTCATTGAGGTATCATGAAGCCGGTGAAAGACTCTGATTCAAGGAAAAATTTTGAGTGTTGATTCATCACCAGCTTTCATTCGAAGTGATCACTTCCAACCCATCTATACATATCTATACCCTTTTGATCGGCTAATCGCCAATGGCTAACTTTAGGGAAGGGATGAGGTACAGTACGTTGTGGTGGAACAAAGGTTGTGTTGGAACTCAAAGTTTGAGCGGGCACTTTGCACATGTCTATAAAAAATTGGATCCCCGCGTAAAAGTCCCCGATTGAGATTATATTTACTGGAAAGATTACACAGTACTAACCCAGTACCAACATATTACAACTCCATTTACATGGCTACCGGCTGCCTACCTTAACCCACAAAACCCGTTCATTTCACCATAGCTTCACCCAAGACAGTTCGATACAGTTTGCCTATATTTGCCTATATGTTGTTCAATTTGTGCATAGTTTTGCCCAAGTTTTGCCTTGTTGACCAAGTTTCTACCACGTTTTTGCCCTGATAAAAATGAAAAAACAGCTGTGTTCTCCAAGTGGATCTACGCCATGGTTGCGACGGTTGTCGCCCAGCAACACACGCTGCTGCAACTCGGGTGGAATCTCCAGGATCTGCAACGCTCGCTCCATGAAGGCCTCAAAATCAAAGCCGTGGCAATCCGTGGCGACTCAGTGGCTTCACCATGTTTCACCAGTCATTTTAAAACGGCCTGATGTGGCCTGATATGGCCTGATAAATGATGATAAATTGTGATAAATTATGAATGTAAAGGGATGTGAAGGGTGACATGAAGGTTTTCGCTCTGGTTCTTGTGGCTCAGAAAGAATTAGTCGTGGACCCGCAAATTGAGTATGGAACCATCACACTGCTGGAGTCAACAATCTTGAGCCTACCCTTGTGGTTGATCTCAAACGATGGCAACACTGCTTCAACCAAGCAAGCAAAGGCTTTTCGGCTGCCACAGTGCCGAGGTCCTATTAAACGCTACAACCTCATAACATGATCCTTGCAGACAATACATGTAAGGTAATGTCCTGCCACTTGAATTCAACCAATACCTGAGTTGGTGAAGACACGGCTCATTCAGTGAGAGCAAGTGCCCCTGTCCTGTTGTAGCTGTAAAGTTGGCGGGCCACAAAAGCAAATTGCGATAAATTTCGCGCCCGCCAGCCACAAAGCTGGCACTGCTTTGCTGAGCATCAAGACTATTCAAGACTGGTCAGAAAGCTCAACGCTGCCAAAGCGTGCAGTGTTTGCCACCGGAGCAGCGAATACCGCCAAAGAAGCCGTTGGTGCACGTCACCCAACGTTTGCATACTCGTGCGGCCCTCTCCTGCTCATCAACGCCTTCAGTAGCCTCGGCGCTAGTATCAAGCTCTGCCAGGACAGCACCAACCTCTTCATCAGTGGATTCCTTCTGAGCTGTGACATCCTGCTCCTTTTCTGGAACCCCGACCGCTGACTCTCCCCGGAGGTTCTTCGCAAAATCGTCGCTCTGCACTGGAACACATGCGAGCGCCAGCACAATGACAATGTTCGTGAGCTTCATGACTGCAAGGGGCTTGAAGCTTGAAAGATGTCACACTTTACAATGTGCTGATGCGGTTCGAGCCAAACAGACTTCAGCGCATGATGCTTGGTAAATCTGCATCAATGCATAAATCTTGTGACATTCAGCGATGCAGCATGAAGCAGCTCTGCAGCTATCAACAAATCTCGCAAGGTCTCCCAAACAACATGTCTCAGACTGCGCCGCACATCAACTTGTGACCTACCACTACCACCAAAAAAACATAAAATTGAGTTTGGAAAATGGTTCAGTGGTCCTTGGTTAAACTTATGTTTCATTGTGTTTCCCATTCAACAACAAATTAAGAAATGTTGCAAGTTTTCTCAGCTGAGCTACTGATGCACACAAGACAGAATTGGCGTAGCAGCACGTTGACTTTTTGTTGTCAGACTTGGAGGGTCGCGCAGAACGTTGCATCCTCCATACATTACAATCTGTGAATCTGACATAATCACAGATAATATAATATTGCATAATGCAGGCTCACTTGAGGTAGGATCTATAACACTCACAGTGTCCTGCCACTTGAATTCAACCAACACCTGAGTTGGTGAAGACACGGCTCATTCAGTGAGAGCAAGTGCCCCTGTCCTGTTGTAGCTGTAAAGTTGGCGGGCCACAAAAGCAAATTGCGATAAATTTCGCGCCCGCCAGCCACAAAGCTGGCACTGCTTTGCTGAGCATCAAGACTATTCAAGACTGGTCAGAAAGCTCAACGCTGCCAAAGCGTGCAGTGTTTGCCACCGGAGCAGCGAATACCGCCAAAGAAGCCGTTGGTGCACGTCACCCAACGTTTGCATACTCGTGCGGCCCTCTCCTGCTCATCAACGCCTTCAGTAGCCTCGGCGCTAGTATCAAGCTCTGCCAGGACAGCACCAACCTCTTCATCAGTGGATTCCTTCTGAGCTGTGACATCCTGCTCCTTTTCTGGAACCCCGACCGCTGACTCTCCCCGGAGGTTCTTCGCAAAATCGTCGCTCTGCTCTGGAACACATGCGAGCGCCAGCACAAAGACAATGTTCGTGAGCTTCATGACTGCAAGGGGCTTGAAGCTTGAAAGATGTCACACTTTACAATGTGCTGATGCGGTTCGAGCCAAACAGACTTCAGCGCATGATGCTTGGTAAATCTGCATCAATGCATCAATGCATAAATCTTGTGACATTCAGCGATGCAGCATGAAGCAGCTCTGCAGCTATCAACAAATCTCGCAAGGTCTCCCAAACAACGTCTCAGACTGCGCCGCACATCAACTTGTGACCTACCACCATAAAAACCATAAAATTGAGTTTGGAAAATGGTTCAGCGGTCCTTGGTTAAACTTATGTTTCATTGTGTTTCCCATTCAACAACAAATTAAGAAATGTTGCAAGTTTTCTCAGCTGAGCTACTGATGCACACAAGACAGAATTGGCGTAGCAGCACGTTGACTTTTTGTTGTCAGACTTGGAGGGTCGCGCAGAACGTTGCATCCTCCATACATTACAATCTGTGAATCTGACATAATCACAGATAATATAATATTGCATAATGCAGGCTCACTTGAGGTAGGATCTATAACACTCACAGTGTCCTGCCACTTGAATTCAACCAACACCTGAGTTGGTGAAGACACGGCTCATTCAGTGAGAGCAAGTGCCCCTGTCCTGTTGTAGCTGTAAAGTTGGCGGGCCACAAAAGCAAATTGCGATAAATTTCGCGCCCGCCAGCCACAAAGCTGGCACTGCTTTGCTGAGCATCAAGACTATTCAAGACTGGTCAGAAAGCTCAACGCTGCCAAAGCGTGCAGTGTTTGCCACCGGAGCAGCGAATACCGCCAAAGAAGCCGTTGGTGCACGTCACCCAACGTTTGCATACTCGTGCGGCCCTCTCCTGCTCATCAACGCCTTCAGTAGCCTCGGCGCTAGTATCAAGCTCTGCCAGGACAGCACCAACCTCTTCATCAGTGGATTCCTTCTGAGCTGTGACATCCTGCTCCTTTTCTGGAACCCCGACCGCTGACTCTCCCCGGAGGTTCTTCGCAAAATCGTCGCTCTGCACTGGAACACATGCGAGCGCCAGCACAATGACAATGTTCGTGAGCTTCATGACTGCAAGGGGCTTGAAGCTTGAAAGATGTCACACTTTACAATGTGCTGATGCGGTTCGAGCCAAACAGACTTCAGCGCATGATGCTTGGTAAATCTGCATCAATGCATAAATCTTGTGACATTCAGCGATGCAGCATGAAGCAGCTCTGCAGCTATCAACAAATCTCGCAAGGTCTCCCAAACAACATGTCTCAGACTGCGCCGCACATCAACTTGTGACCTACCACTACCACCAAAAAAACATAAAATTGAGTTTGGAAAATGGTTCAGTGGTCCTTGGTTAAACTTATGTTTCATTGTGTTTCCCATTCAACAACAAATTAAGAAATGTTGCAAGTTTTCTCAGCTGAGCTACTGATGCACACAAGACAGAATTGGCGTAGCAGCACGTTGACTTTTTGTTGTCAGACTTGGAGGGTCGCGCAGAACGTTGCATCCTCCATACATTACAATCTGTGAATCTGACATAATCACAGATAATATAATATTGCATAATGCAGGCTCACTTGAGGTAGGATCTATAACACTCACAGTGTCCTGCCACTTGAATTCAACCAACACCTGAGTTGGTGAAGACACGGCTCATTCAGTGAGAGCAAGTGCCCCTGTCCTGTTGTAGCTGTAAAGTTGGCGGGCCACAAAAGCAAATTGCGATAAATTTCGCGCCCGCCAGCCACAAAGCTGGCACTGCTTTGCTGAGCATCAAGACTATTCAAGACTGGTCAGAAAGCTCAACGCTGCCAAAGCGTGCAGTGTTTGCCACCGGAGCAGCGAATACCGCCAAAGAAGCCGTTGGTGCACGTCACCCAACGTTTGCATACTCGTGCGGCCCTCTCCTGCTCATCAACGCCTTCAGTAGCCTCGGCGCTAGTATCAAGCTCTGCCAGGACAGCACCAACCTCTTCATCAGTGGATTCCTTCTGAGCTGTGACATCCTGCTCCTTTTCTGGAACCCCGACCGCTGACTCTCCCCGGAGGTTCTTCGCAAAATCGTCGCTCTGCACTGGAACACATGCGAGCGCCAGCACAATGACAATGTTCGTGAGCTTCATGACTGCAAGGGGCTTGAAGCTTGAAAGATGTCACACTTTACAATGTGCTGATGCGGTTCGAGCCAAACAGACTTCAGCGCATGATGCTTGGTAAATCTGCATCAATGCATAAATCTTGTGACATTCAGCGATGCAGCATGAAGCAGCTCTGCAGCTATCAACAAATCTCGCAAGGTCTCCCAAACAACGTCTCAGACTGCGCCGCACATCAACTTGTGACCTACCACCATAAAAACCATAAAATTGAGTTTGGAAAATGGTTCAGTGGTCCTTGGTTAAACTTATGTTTCATTGTGTTTCCCATTCAACAACAAATTAAGAAATGTTGCAAGTTTTCTCAGCTGAGCTACTGATGCACACAAGACAGAATTGGCGTAGCAGCACGTTGACTTTTTGTTGTCAGACTTGGAGGGTCGCGCAGAACGTTGCATCCTCCATACATTACAATCTGTGAATCTGACATAATCACAGATAATATAATATTGCATAATGCAGGCTCACTTGAGGTAGGATCTATAACACTCACAGTGTCCTGCCACTTGAATTCAACCAACACCTGAGTTGGTGAAGACACGGCTCATTCAGTGAGAGCAAGTGCCCCTGTCCTGTTGTAGCTGTAAAGTTGGCGGGCCACAAAAGCAAATTGCGATAAATTTCGCGCCCGCCAGCCACAAAGCTGGCACTGCTTTGCTGAGCATCAAGACTATTCAAGACTGGTCAGAAAGCTCAACGCTGCCAAAGCGTGCAGTGTTTGCCACCGGAGCAGCGAATACCGCCAAAGAAGCCGTTGGTGCACGTCACCCAACGTTTGCATACTCGTGCGGCCCTCTCCTGCTCATCAACGCCTTCAGTAGCCTCGGCGCTAGTATCAAGCTCTGCCAGGACAGCACCAACCTCTTCATCAGTGGATTCCTTCTGAGCTGTGACATCCTGCTCCTTTTCTGGAACCCCGACCGCTGACTCTCCCCGGAGGTTCTTCGCAAAATCGTCGCTCTGCACTGGAACACATGCGAGCGCCAGCACAATGACAATGTTCGTGAGCTTCATGACTGCAAGGGGCTTGAAGCTTGAAAGATGTCACACTTTACAATGTGCTGATGCGGTTCGAGCCAAACAGACTTCAGCATTGATGCTTCAAGTCAATTTGAGACTCATTTTGATGCTGTTGGCCACAACACTTTTGCACCGGCTGAGCCCCGCCTTGTTCTCTTCATGTTTGCTATCTAAAGCGAAAGCGCGTTGCTGCTCGCGCATAATGGCAGAAATAAACAGCGCCACAACCACACCTCAGAAATTAGTACGGTGCAACCGCCAGCCCATCAAGCCACAAAGCATTCATTGGGGCATGTGACAACATGTGCCAACGCCGAGTTGCATCCTGCAGGTCCGAAGATTGACACCATGAGCAAGGATCCAAAGTCCTGGACAGGCACAAGACCGAGGAAACACAGCTCTAAAAGCCCCGTTTTCGGATTTGGGCCCAAGGCCAACATTTTGAATACACAATGGTCTAATGAGTCTAATGCACAAGGCACAATGATGCACATTTTGAGACAGCTCTCATTACGTGGGTTTCGGCTGGGTAAATGGCCACTAATTATTTCAGACAGCATTCGTCCACCTAATGGACAGCTTGGAATCCGACATGAAGGTCCTTGTTGCGTGGACCTCCGTCGCCCAAAGGATTATCCAAAGATCCTGTCAGCATGTACCTCCACAGCGGATACCAGTGCCGAACCATCCTGATACAGGAGTCTAGGCCACTGCAAATTTTGTGCTTTTGTCCAACACAAAGAGATACCAAACGTCTTCTAAATCCTCCCAAAGCAGGGAAATTTCATGAAATTTCTGCTGCGTCTGCTGCCCTTGAAACATCTTGAAACATTTTTGTGCCAAGGCACAGGGCTTCCACAAAGGCCATGAAATACAGCGACACGCCTCCTGACACTTGACCTGAACGACTGAACGACTGAACGACCATTTGGGGTGGGACGGCTCCGATTGTGCCGGCTGTGGTATCCTGCCTGAAATACCGTAGCCCATATCAAAGTTGGTTTCAAATTCTTCCTCTCGATTGATCAGTTCCTGTCCTTGGCGATCGCAAATTCTCTGGTGAGTCATACTTTAAACATCTTTAAACAAGTTTAAACAAAATGAAACTATATAATAAACAAAAACCCAAGTGTAGATATACTTCATAGCTGTTGTTGCACGCAGCTTCACTCACACGCACATCCTGAAACGCCACTCCTGTCGTTCTTTCGTATCCTACCGAGCATCTGAAGCCACCCAGGGTGAAGAGAAGACATGCTGTCCAGTGAGCCCCCAAGACCAGCAGCACTACGGGTCGACCAAGCCGGACCACAATATTGTCCTCCCACCTTTTTGCAAAGGGGAACAGTTTGGGTAACTACGGCTGCAAAAACATGCCAAAAGACAAGATAAATCAGATAGAGATTGGATGAAATTGGTAGTTTGAAACAAACCTCATCTGTTACAGGCAAATTTCACTCTGGTTTGCTTGGTTGATCATCCACCCGTCATTTGGTGAGAAGACATGAGAAGAGCGACAGTACTTCACCTGAGACGCACCTCCAAAGCGCATCAGGCGCCCGAAGCAATGGGCCTCAGCCAAGGAGTTCTGTGTGATGCCACAATTCTCAACTCAAAGAGAAAAGGCAGTAAGAATAGTAAGAACAAGTAAGAACTCACATCCCCTTGCAGAGATATATCCTTGGGGCTCCTTGTTCAAGACCTTTGCTTTTGGACCTTGCTAGTTTCAACATTGTGTGCTTCGTGCAAACTTTTCAAGAGAATTGCAATGAAGAGCTTAGCAGAACACTGCAAAGGAATTGCATGAAGCATCTTTTTACTGAATTTTGATTGCTGCGTGCACCCTTTTGAAATGAATATTCTTCTTAAAATATTCCATATGCGGTGTACTTATACCATTGATTCCCTGCTTGCCTACTCGTATGATCTTGAGGTTGTTCAGCAAGAGGGTTGCACCCAGTCCTCGAGACATGGCCAAAGCTCCCAAGGGTCCGATGCTGGAGGGGGCAGCATGGGTTCAGCATGACCATCATGACCCACAATGGCCCACTGATGCCAACATGCGACACATGGAACACATGCACCACATGCAACACATGTCCTAACCACAGATAGGAGAAAGAGCTGATGACTTGCAGCCACCAAATGAAACTCCCGCAGAAGTACTGCTGGATGTTCTTGATATCCACGACTTCCTGGAGTCAAAAATTACGTTCGCACCATTTGCACCATAGCAGACGGTTGCGGGACTGACTCTGGGGCACGGTGAAACTGTTGACGGTTAGTGTCCTCACACAAAAGGTTCTGGCGATTGATCTTTTGGCTCCATAATTCATAATTATATATAATTATCATAAGGTTCCACTTTCAAAGTTCAAATGGATTCAAATGGCACATCTCGCCCTGTGTTTGAGCGCGTTTCGTGCCAGATTCTCAAGTGGATTGCCTCACAGTCAACAGGGAAAACATCGGAAAAGGGTTTGTCCGCGGCAGCATCCTTCTTGGTGATTGGATGCAGGAAAGATATTCTCAATCGCAAAGCCAGACAAATCGCATACACCACATCCATCGTACCTCATGGCGTGTTTCTCAGCTATGAAACCAAAACAGACCAAATGATGAAGGTTTCTTGAAGGGTGAACCGCAAGGAAAAGCGAAGTAGTTGCAATGAAACTGGACGTTTTGAAAGTAAACTGTTTGAGTCAGACAACTCAAGAAAAAACTCAAGAGTTTTGACACCCAACAAACACCAAATTGCAAAACGTTCTCCCCTGAAGTTGAAGTGTGCCAAGAGGTTCAATTGCGATCTTGCAAGACTTTAGACATAAAATCAGTGTTCCAATGATTCAGTTCATTGTGTACAGTCACTCAGTACCACCTGAAGTTTAAGATGAACCATGGAAAACAAATGAAAAAATGTAATGTTTTGTCAGGTTTGGTCCACATATTTTCCATCAAGCCCAGGTGAGTTCAGGTCACAATCGAAAGCCAGCAGGGCTCGTCCACCAGGCACCAAATCTGGGGAGTTCCATCACCGGACAAGATGAAACTCAAAGGTGCCGCAATGCAAGTGCCTCGGTTCCGCTTCGCTTCGGTTCATCCAGTTGACCAGTTCATCAAATTGGAGTCGTGACGGACTTGGTGATGGGATCAGCCGGTGTCAGGTTACAATCTCCCACAAACTCCACCATTTGGTGTCAGTCACCAAGGTCATCAAGTACTTCACAGTGCATGGAATGGATTCTCACAGAAAAATCATCGTTTTATTTTCAATTATAGAAATGGATCGTGGAAATTGTTTCCGGCACTACACGTTGACCAGACTTCTGTACATCCTTGGAACACTACACTGTATACACTATATTAATTTGACATAGTTCGAATTAGTTCGATATATGTTGACTATTGTTGACTTCTTTTGAGTTGACTTTGAGTATATTATGATATAATATGTATATATTGGATAATGTATATATTATGTATCATAATATGTATATTATTATAATATGTATATTGAATTCCGTGAAAACTCTACTGAGTCGAGGCACCTACTACGGTGAAGAGTCGAACCAGCTCCACCATCCTGGTGGCTCAATCTGCTCAGCAGTTCATCCCAGAGATCTTCCCCGTGAATTGAATAAACTGAATAAGGATTGCTAATATTTCCCAAATGGTAAGTTTAGATATGTTTAAATGATTTTAAGATATTTTAAGATATTTTAAGGATAACTCATGATTCATTGTAGTGATTCATTTTGAAGAATCAAAATGGATGTGCTAATACCTTCTATGAAATTTCCGCAGAAGTTTCACGCACATTTCATGGCATCCCCAATATCTGGGCTCTCCAACCAAACGGAAGAAATGAAAATCTTGTTTGAAAATTTCTTGGTTCATCACATTTCCAATATATTCCAATATGGGGTAATTCGTTCATACGGAAACGGCCATTCTTCGCGAACAAAAATCGCGAACTCCATGTTTATCCGTCATGGGGAAACAATGCTTCAATCACTACCTGCCGGACTATCTCGATTATATAACAATAATATAACTATAATTATTTCATGATAGCCTTGTAAATGTGCAGCTAGCAGCACATAATCCCTCCTCACGACACATGATTGCTGATTGGCTTTGGATCTGTCGGACTTACTGGCCCATCTCCTTCAAAATGCACTATCACTTTCACCCGCTCCGCCCGCTCCTTCTCAGAACTTCAGCGAAAATCTCCCTAGAAATATGTGTTGAATGATGGTTCATGATTCATGATATCTAACTTTGCGAAAGTGTTACGAAAAACAACATGTTATTTTCGCGAACTCGCAACATAACATGAACGTCTTCACAAACCTAATTCATCATCATATAAGAATTACAAGGACCTTTAGAGCGGCAATTCCTTTGTATTGAAATTGCCTTTTTGGTGTATCACGGTGTATCCCACTAAATCCAGTCCCATATGATCCGCGGCATCCGGTAGCCTGGCAGCAGGTGACAGATGGAAACGCCACACAAAGGAGAAGAAGGACTCAGAGGTGGTGCTTCCCTTGTCATCCGAGTCACCACCGTGGAAAAGCTCCTGCACCAGCCGGGATCATTATGATAGTATTGGAGAGTATTGGAGCCGGAAAGCCAGAATGATCCAGAATGGAGAAGTGCAGTTGCAGTACTTCTTGGCTTCATCATGTTGACACCCTACTCATCCCAACTCTACAAAGAGAATCATCATGAATCATCCATATCATCCTAATCCCCACCATGTTTCGTGTTCAGCTCGTTTAACTCGTTGGTGCTCGTTTGTGCTCGTCCTGGATGTTCAAAATGTCACTGGGATCTTGGTCATGGTGCTGGGCCTCATACAAGGAGCGCTCCAAGTGACTCGGCGACCACCTGGGCTCGCAACGTGTCGCAACGTGTCGCAACGTGTCGCAACGTGTCAGGCAACAATTCAGCAAATGGATATCTGTTCAGGCTGTCTCATCTTCCATTTGTCGCCCTCGTGTCAAACAACATCTGGTTCAAATCAGGCTTTGCAACCCTCATAAAACATCATCAAACGTAGCGTTTCAGCAATAAAGGGTTGTAAATGGTTGTAGATGTTGTAGTATGAATTATGTAACTGTAGAATCTGTAGATAACTGTAGTATGTTGATGTATGTTGTAGTCCCTTTACAAATCGGCAAATTTCAGTGTGCATCCATGTGCATCCTAGCGGAACCGAAGGAATTCTGCTCCAAGGGACGCTTTTTGCGAGTCCTGCGTAAAGGATGCAAACATGGACCTCAGGGCAGCTCTGAGGGCTCTGAGGGCTCTGAGGGCATCCCCTGAAGCTTGGTGTCACTTCGACTGTGGAAATGCTGTAGCAAAATGATGCAAAATGATGCAAAATGTACGTGTATCCGCTTGGTATCCCGAAGCTTAGTTGTTTGCATCATCATACCCCTTTCATTGTAAATTGTCTATATCATATAGTCTATATCCGCTACTTATGAACCCCTGGTTCCAATATGTTCCAAGTACATCACCGCCCTTCTCTTCTTTAGCCAGGCATGTCCCATTTTACATCTCCCAATCCCATCCAATCCCCGCCTGGCTAAGGTCACTCGCCGGTTGAACTGATAGAGCCCAAAGATCCGACTGATTGCGCCCCCCGAGTTCCGCTGGTTGTGGGACTCGCCAGCATCGGAGCGGGTGGAGTGGTGGGATTTCTCCGTGCTCAGCTTGCGAACCTTGGATCAAATGCGGGTTTCCTATGGTTTCCCACAAAATGGGGCATTTACATGGATTTACTGGATGATTTCACCAGAAATAAATATAATAAATAGGAGTATAAGATTGTAAAACATTATAAAGCCAAGAATTCAAACCAACCATGATGGGGATATGGTGGGATAGAATGGGATACCAAAAACATGATGCGAGTTTGTTCGAAAATAGGGCGTGCACCAAATCCATTGCTGTTTCATCATATCATATCATATGCGGGTGAAAATTGCCATGTTGGGGGATTTTGAGGGTATTTTATACGGTATATCCCCAATGTTTGGACAAACCCATGTCTTAGAAAGGAAGGGGGTGCCAGCTCGCAATCCAGTGGCAACCAAGCTTCGGCTTCCTGCCGCGACACGGAGACCTTTGAGCCCACCGTCTCTGCCGACTGTCCGCGCTTCGTTCCATCGCCTGACCATGTGAGGTATTGTGAGGTTGTATGAAAACGAACTTTAGATTAATCACAGATCCATATCTTCTTTTTTTGCTTCCTTACCGGAGAAATAGCAACCAAACACGCAAACCTGATCGTTTTCCCATGAAAACAACATCCCGTCTATTTTTTGCTGCAGTCAGGTTCCCATGCACTCGATATACTTCAATTCAAATTCACTTCGCTTCACATTGCAATTCGGAAAGTCCCGAAAACCCTTCAGCGAGTTGATGAATCTACCCACGTAAAAGCAAACATCGACAGATCTACATGTAAAAAACGATTTTTGGCGAGCAAAAATCGTTTTCCAAGTCCACGGCCCTTGCAAGCACCACCTCTAAAGGAAGGTCCAAAAAAGGGTGCAAACAAAAACATGTTTTTCACCTCCCGGCTCTTCCAAACGCCAAATCTAAAGGAACAGCCAAAAAACGATTTTTTGCGAAAATCATGTTTAAGCCTTCTAGCTCAAACCACCAATCAAGTACAGGAATCTCAGACCTCCAGAGTGAACACCAGTAGGAATTAAAATCATGGTATGCGGGTGTCATACCACTACACCAACTCTGGGTGATAAGGGCATCTACTCTTGTCGTAATTATGTTGGGAAAAAGATTGAAACGACAAGTGAAAAAGGAAAAGGCAAGACCCAGGCACCAGAAAAGAACATAGTTCTCCTCTCCCGAACACTGTTTTTCAAAACACAATGCAAGTAAATCAGCCCGTTGTTTCCTCCTTATCTTTTTGATTCTTTTTGCGTGGAACTCTACCCAAAGAACATATCAGCAAATGTCATTGCCCCCCTTTGGACACAACCTCATGTCATGACAATGTGGGATTCATCAGATAGGGTGAGGTTGGAGCATATGAATTGGCTCTTGGTGGGTTAAACGACCCAAAGGGTTTGTGGCATTTGGCTATGTCAATTTACAGTCGCCAATAGTCCGTGAATAATGACGCTGAACTCTGACACCAACCGCTCCAACCCTGCGGTTGATTCCCACCTGCAGGGCTTGTAACCTTGGTAGGCGATAGCGATGGACATGGAAGGCTTCAATCCCCACATGGATGGATGATTTTCCGGAAAGCCGAACATTAAAATGTTATATGATATTATTATATATTATTAACATTTTGATATTGCGTGCATCTATGTGCATCTATGTGCATCTATGTGCATCTATGTGCATCTATGTGCATCTGTACTTCCGATCTTTGACTGGAGGGCGCATGTTTCGCAGACAAGAAAAACCCAGGGAAAACCTGATACATCAGCATGCAACAAAAATACAACCCAATAGCAGCAATAGCATGTTTAAATGATTTTAAATGTACGGTATCACCCTACATCACCCTAGGCACCGTCGTTCCTTTCGGCCTGGCAACCGAAAAGGGCGCAGGAGCCACACCGCTTGGCACTGTCATCTGAAAGCTGAGGCCACTCCGACTTTGCACAGCACGGGAAGCCTTCCCCTTGGAATTTGTTGAAATCCCTTGGATAATTTGGATATCTGGTTTCTCTATGTTTCTCTATGTTTCTGTCTCGGATTCTTCTTGAAGTTTCGATGGGAAATGATGGGAATGTTGATGCTGGAATGTTAGAGGGCTATGAGTTCTTGGGCCAATATCATGCAATGATGCCTGTCTGATTGGATGCAGCTTGCCATGTTCACGACACATGGGTAGAAGCTTTGAGACGCTGCGGACCCCTCAGTTCCCCAACCGCTGCTGCTCAACAAATACTACGTCTCACCATTGCAAATGACAGCCAAAAATTAGCTTGGGATAACATATCATATCATATCATGTAACCCAAGTAACCCAAGTACACAATAACTGAGGACAATGCTTGGGGACAAACCCATGCCTTCTGGGAAACATCGCAATGGAAAAATATGGAAAAAGACATTGATAAAGGGAGTCTTTGTCATCTTTGTTTCCCATGTTTCCCTCTTTTGTAGTTTGTGACAATATGTGACAATGCTATTTGCAGAGCTACCATCGAAATCATCGAATAGGTCACCGAAAACAACGCGTTCGGCACTCCACCTGCAGCACACCTTGCTCAGCGAGCCAAGTTTGGAAGGCGCTTGCCGTGGCCTGGCAACCACGGCATTCCAGGCATTCCATGGCTATTCCATGGCTATTCCATGGCTCCTATCTGCACAGCAATTGGATCCTGATCCTATCCCAGTCCGATCCCAACAACTCCAAAAGGCAACTCAGCCAACCCACATTCGTATACATTATGTCACATTGCATGCCAAGCCAAGGAATTTGCAAACATTCAAAGCCTGTAGTGACTGTAGTGGCTCAAGCTTACTTGTCAGATCTTGTCTGACTTGTCACAATTAGATTTCTTCAGGTTATCAAGTAGTATCAGCCATGGGCCAGCATCGTAAGGCATGGTACCCACCCCTTTTTCGGACATTTTGGGACATGGTATGACCAGCATTGACCAGCCCATTTCAGCACCTCTCCCGAATATTTGCCTTTCAACTTGCCCTCACTGATGAGGGCAAGCGTGGGGAATGCCTGGACTCGCAGAAATGGATGCTTTAGTTACTTTAGTTGCGTCATGTTGCGTCGGCCTCCACCAAACATGCACACATTGAGCTGCAGATCGGTGAGAAAGTCTGATAAACATGAATTATGAATGAACATGGCCCATTCAATATCGGCACCTTGATGTTGGCCTTCTCACAGATAGTTTTGCTAACTGTACAGTCCACCTGGCTGTAACAATGCCGTACGACATAAGGATGCCCACCGCAAGGGCATGCAAGGGCCCAACAAAACGCATATCTTAAATCTCCCATAAATCTCCCCAATTTGCATCAGGACTGGTGGACACAATCCCCTGGATATGGCATGGTAATGCATGGTACGGGTATGTCACGTATGTCTGTCCCTTTGATTCACCTCTCGATGCTGTTCCCAACATTTCCCAACAACCTAATGGAAGTACAAGTGGCTTGAGGTGTGGCTACTTCCTACGCATCTGTTCTTCAAAGCAACTCATCTATGCAAAATTTCGGAGACGTGTCGAAGGTGGACTTGTCTCTAAACCGGACCCCGGAACCATCTCCAAAGTTGCGGGCAGACTTCCCAGTTTCAACATCTCCAAGTCCAGGAGGAAAACTGACTTGAGGCCAGGGAGGTACGAAAGCTAGCAGGACGGTACTAATATTGTACCGGAGACTGCTCAGCTGAAAGAACAAACTGAAATATCTGAAATAGATTGAAATAGGAGATAATATAGGAGTGTGGAAAAGGACCCAAAAGGAAGAACAGGAGGATCCAAAATGATCCAAACAGAGAAAGGGGCTGACGACGACGGCTTGGCAGCTTGACCCGGTAAGACCAGTCAGGGCCGCATCCGCAATTTTCACGGGCCAGTCCTGCGAGACCTCAGGCAGAATGCCCTGATGCCCTGCCAACATGGCAAATCATGGCTTGTTACTGTGGGTCAATAGATGTCAAATGATGTCAATATCATTTTGTGCACATTTACAGCGCTTGTTGAGATTAGTTTTTTTTTCTTGGATCTGGCTGGAGCCTTGAGATGATCAGTTGTTCCAAACAGCTGCAGCGATTGCTTCTGATGATCATCAAAGCATGAAACACTGCCTGATCTCCGGTAGAATCACTCTCATTCTTAACTCGGCTATCGGCTATCTGATATCAGTGAAATCAGAGAATACACCATCAATCACCATCATCATATATCATGTTCTTTGCTCTATGCAAGTACTGAGGACACAAAAAAAATTGCATCATCAAAAGATATCAAAAGGACTTCTTTCGACCACCAGCACCCAAATGGTCATCACAAACTTTCAAACACAGCAGTGACCACTGAGCTGCAAACAGCTTGATCTGCAAGTTTCTCCCATATGGGAGCCAACCTGCCAGCGGCCCCGAAGCTGCTGTTACAAAATGATACAAGTCACTCACAAAAACTCACCCCCAATTCCACCTATGGGACTTTCTGCGGAATGAATGGAATGAATGGAATGAATGGAGGGCTTTTCCTTTCCAATTTCTTCCAAACTGTCCAATGATTTCCTGCAGGCACCGGACTGGACATTCCGGTGATCTCCGTTGATTGGTGAATTCCCCCCCCGCCTCTGGCAATGAGTGCACCAAGGTGCGTAGAACTTCACAAACCAAGCGCCCCGCTTGACGTTGTCATCAAAGTTGAACTTGGTGAGTTTCACAATGTTTTCCTGCAAGATGCTGCAAGATGCTGCAAGCTGCTGCAAGGGATGGGGATGACGGGATGACCTAAACCTGTCACATGACTCCGCTGATCTCTGCCCACAGCTCCATCAATCTGAATCTCCCGAATTTCCCCCTATGAACTGTCCAAGTCATTAAAATCGTGACAATAATGCAACAATAAAGATCAATAGTGTGGCATGTTTGATCCCAGGAAACCAAGACCTTGGAGTATCATACGGAGTCATGCGCATCTGTGTGTCAAAGCATGACATTTTGCTGGTCCTTGTCAGCCTTCACCCCTTGGAAGCAGATAGCCTGGGACTTGGCAGTCGACAGGAATTGGCACATGGTGCAGATGGTGCAGTCAGGTCACAAGGGATACGACAAAGAGCCACCAATGCCGGGCTCTCATCCCTCCTGCCATCTGCCACTGATGCAAGGCATACAAGAAATGGGAACAGCAAGATTAGTTAAATTCGGAATCGCTGCTCAACTCACAAAATGTAGAAATGCATTGTGTGGCCACTGGAGCCATGTCGGTTCTTGCGAATCGATTCCCTTGGAGCCTGCGGTTGGGGCTCCGCATGCATCTGCCCGAGTGCGCCCCATGCAAAGCTTTGAAAGTCCAGCACGGCAAATGCCAGCACAATCAAATTATTGGGCCGACATGAACAACCAAATGACTGGTGGATGCAACAACGAGGTACGTTCAAGGATGCTCAAGGTTTATCTAGACTTTACATCTAGACTTTTTGAAATCCGCCCACACCGCTTTGGCGGTGAAGGCGTGCTTATTGGGGGGCAAAACAGCAACACTAAATGCTCAATGACATTTGTTAATATAGCAGTCGCTATATCAGCTTTAGCTGGGGGGGGGCCAAAAACGGTTTCGCACCGAGACCAGAATACGGTGGTGTTTTCGACATTTTTCGAGGATTTTTGGGTGTCTGAGCGCAAGAGGGTATTGAAATGGAATTTTGGGTCATTTTGGTAGCTTTCCGGCAATGGAAAAACGGCCAAAAATGAAAAAAACATTGTACATAGCAAGATTTTGCAGGGTTTTTGGATGCCAGAGCATTGAAAACACTGCAAAAACAAGTGTTTTGGACTGACGTTATAGCAAAAAACGTGTAAATTACCGTATGCTTGACTGGAAACATTACAAAAACACTGTCAAAAGCAATGTTTTGGAAGGATTTACTGCCTTTATGGCAAAAAACGTGTAAATTACCGTCTGTTTGACTGGAAACATTGGAAAAACACTGTCAAAAACAATGTTTTGGAAGGATTTCTTATATATATGTTGGAGTTGGCTACCGGCATTGGAACATGGAAAAATTGAAGAAAACACTGTAAATAGCGGTATTTTCAACGGTTGGGGAGATAAGGGAATTGGAAGCATTGTCGAACATGATGTTTTCGACCGGTTTTATGGCGACAAAAGTGTAAAGTACCGTGCTTTGAAGGAAACCATTGCAAAAACATGGAAACACATTCAAAGAACACGGGATTTGGGGGACTATCTAAGCGTCGTTGTCTAGCTATTTGAAATTCCGCAGCTTGGAGAGCCTCCAAGGGAGGGAAAAGTGAAAATTCCATAGCTTGGGAAGCTGTCACGGCGGGGAAAAGTGAAAATTCCCTAGCTTGGGAAGCCCCCACGGGGGGGAAAAGTGAAAATTCCCTAGCTTGGGGAGCCCCCACGGGGGGGAAAAGTGAAAATTCCCTAGCTTGGGGAGCCCCCACGGGGGGGAAAAGTGAAAATTCCCTAGCTTGGGGAGCCCCCACGGGGGGGAAAAGTGAAAATTCCCTAGCTTGGGGAGCCCCCACGGGGGGGAAAAGTGAAAATTCCCTAGCTTGGGGAGCCCCCACGGGGGGGGGAAGTGCAAATTCTTAGCTTGGGGAGCCCCCACGGGGGAAAACCACCCTTAGCCCCTCACGGACCGAAATAAACCTGCGGTGTGGGCGGCCACCCCACGCGAAGCGGGGTGAATATTGGCACCACATTGGCATGGGACCACAATCTGCCATTTACTGTAGATCCATCTAATCAGTTGGCCTTGCCGAACTGCACTAGAGGCATTTCTTTGGCATTCGTTGGCATTCTTGCCCGGCCCACAGTGCCACTGACCGGTCACATCTTGTCACAGCTGGAAGCCGCCACTGTTTTGACCTCATGCGGAGACCGCTAAGGGGCCTGAACTGTACATCGTTCAGATGAATTGCTCTTTCCTCGCTCCGGCAAAAGGTGGCATGCCCAAAAGCACACCCAAAGGAAGGTGAGACAGCCCTGCTGCAAGGTTAGCTTGACTTGTTGCTATTACAAAAAAACAGAACAACAACTATATAATACTATATAAACTTAAACGATTTTTTTCGAGTTGCTATGACCATCCATCACAACCACCACTGCAGCAATCATAGTTCAGACTTCTTCGTCACCGATCAGATTGAATTGGCAGGCATCTTCATGCCTCTCACTCAAAACCTTGATCGTCCACCAGTACCTAGAGGGACCATGGACATACTCAGCATATCTCAGCATATCTCAGGATTCAGCTTGATGTGACTTGTGGCAATTCAGATGTCTGAGAGAGGTGCTGCTGGTCTCACCATCTGTCGCCCAATGTGGCCAATCCAAGATTCCTGCAGCATCGCTATGATTTCGTGTGAATTCAACGGTGATTTCAGCAGTTTGCCAAAATTGTTATTCTGAAAGCGTCCATTTGAAACCCAAGGGAAACCAAACTAGTTTGATTTGGGGGCATCCAAACTTCAAAAACACCGTCACCTACCACCAGAAAGTACTGGGTGCCAAGCTTTATCCGGCGATGAATCTGCAATCAGGTAGAAGACCTGAAGTCATTCATAAACTGCAATGTGATGCAAGATGTACCATCCAATCACTG